GTTATATCAATAACATTACTCATATAGAAATTTTATAATTATTTATATAATATTGAATTATGTTATGAGTTATAATCTTTTATTGACTTAATAAATAACATAATTAAAAAAAAAAATCTGCACCTTTATTGAAAACTATATATATTAAACTATTTTTTGATATTTTTTTAAGATTCAAATAACAATTCAATGTAAATTTGAATTTCTTTATTTTCTAGTAGTTCTTTAAGTTTATTGTCAATAATAATTTCTTTATCTAGATAAAGGATTTTTTAAAGGTTAAATTCCATTTTATTTAAAGATACTAATTTTCTTTTTTTATAATTAAAAAAAAAATTTATTTAATTGATTTATACTTTTTGATTAAATTCTAATTATAATTCATGTGATTATTAATATAAAATATAAAATCTTTAAGATAAAAATATTTATTTCTTTTTTTATTTTGTTTTATTTTTTTTATTAATTTATTATAATATAGTCTTGTCATATTATAATTATGATATTAAATTTATAAAAATAAAACAAAATATATATAAGAACTAAGCATTATAAGATATGACTACTTTTCTGAAAAAAAAGTTAACCTGTTATCTAAATGATTATATTATTATTATTACAAAAATGATACAACTACAAATTTTTTTTTTTTTTATATTTTAAAATATTTTTTTTTTATTTAAAATATAAAATCTACAAAAAATTTGAATAATTATATTAGAAATTTAAAAACTTTTATACATTATAAAATATTATTAAGCATTTTTAAAAATCTAGTAATTTATTATAAACTAGTGTATAGTCTTATAATTACCTTGATACTTGATAGTATAAATATATATTATAATAATTATTTGAACAAGTTTCTTAAAGTTACTTATTTTTTTAAACTTCTTTAAATATAATTACTAATAGTATATATATTATTCAATAAAATTTAATAGCATTCTAAAAATATTTTGTAAGTTTAAACAAATTTACATAATAGATAATAGATGAATATTTAGTAATCTAATTTTAATGAATATTTTTTTTATTTGTAATTTTTATTACAATTTAAAAAAATTCATCAAAATTAAATTACTAAATGCCTAAAAAATGGGTTTGAGTTTAGTAAAAAAGGATAATTTTAGCTAAAAATTCATTATAACTTATATATTAGATATTCAGGATTCTATAAATATAGAAATATAATCAATTTTTTTCATATAAGTATATTTATATTAGTTTAAGTAAACTTATTAAAAAAAACTTCATTTTATTTATACTGATTAGTATTTTTTTATACCAATTTTTTTTAATTTTAAAAAGATAAGAAAAAAAAGTCAAATTTATTTAATCACTATACTTTGATATTAATAAATAAAAAAACAAAAAATTTGAAAATTAATTTTTTTTATGAATTTTATTTTAACTTATAAAATTAAGTTAAATAAAAAGGGTTGGTTTAAAAAATTATTTTTATTTTTATTTTTTTTGCTGCAGCACATTCAATAGTTTATTAAAAAAATTATTACATTAACACAACATATATAATGATACAATATAAAACTAATTTAACTTAGTAACTATTAAACCACTTATCATTTTATAAGAGAACTCCTATGTGTGTATTATCAGGTGGATTTGGAATTATGAAAGCAAGTTCAGTGTGAAACTACCCTTTCTTAAAGGAGAACCCCTTCTCTTTGTCTACATTTTAGAAAAATTCAATAAGACTTACTGTAATACAACAAGAAAAAAAAAAAGGATTTAAATAAAAAATTTAGGGTAAAAAAAGGGTTAATATATTTATAAACTAGATAGTGAGTATACCAACATTCTAAAAACTCCTATTTAGCCTAGACTTCCATTAGTTGGCCAGTGGTTTAAGTAATACCCTAATTTCAACTAAAATTGTAAATTTGTCATTACTGTCAAAGCCTTTTTTTAATTGAAGTAGATTGCATTATATAAAAATTTTTATTTATATATATAAATTGTAAAATATAATATAAAATAAATTTTTTTAATTTACCAAATTTTTTTAAAAATGTCAAATATTACTTATTAATAATTTTCATTAATCTAATTTTTTAAATTTTTTAAATTTTAGAAATAATTAATTACATATTATTAAACAGTTATTTATATGTAAATTTACAAAAAGAAGAGATTTGTCTAAGGTTGAAAAGGATGTTTTTCAGATAATTTTCTAAGAAAAACACAAAATTTGTTTTTCACTTTATTAAAAAGTTTTTTTTAACAAATATTTCAAAATTTTGTTAAAGTTAACATCAAATTAATATTTGTTAATGTATTTATTATTTAAAATTTTGCAATCAGTATTTTTTTTTTCTGGCCAAAATTATAAACTGGCAATTTAAACTCTGGCCAAATTGTAATTTTTGGCTATTTAATCAATCACCAGTGGTGATATAACCACTGGTGAAATTTCCAATTTTTTTTAATGATAATAAAAAATAGTTTGTACAATAAAATTTGTATATTATTTAAAAAGTATATTATATATTTCTTCCTATAATTCTATAATTATTTTTCTTTAAAAAAAAATAAATAAATTAATAATAGTAATCAAAAATTATTTGATCAGTTTATTTAATAAAACTTTATAAATCATTATGTATTAATATAATGTAAGTGAATACAATAACCAAATTCCAATGTTTTATAATTTTCAGAACTTTTTTACACTTTATTTGATCCTGGATTTTTTTTATAACTAGGGAATGGGAACCATTAAAATGTCCAAAGCATCGCTTCACATATTACAAGGAACTACATCTCGGTAAAATAAATAAAATAAATGACACAATCATGCAAATATTAGAATTAAATATTGTTCTTATTTAACAGATTATGAGATGAAATCCACCGCCATTACCAATGAAGCTACTGTGTGTATTATCACATGTACATGTTGAAATCTTGATCTGATACAATGACATTACTCTTAAAGAAATAGCAGAATCATTAGACACCTTTGTATACATGGCTGTTTTGTGCTATTGCACGTTTGGAACATCTTGAATTTGGCCAATGTATGATTAGAGATTCAACTATCAGGGAAATTACTGTACTTGTTTATGTCTATACCTTCGCTTGTTGAACTGTAGTAAGAAATAGAAAAACTGGGTTGAAGTATTGACAATAAAAGAATTTAACACGTCAATCCAAAAAGACTTATAGAAGGTTCACGAGAATTTTAAGAATATGTGAAAAGTTTGAGAATAAATTATTCTGTGAAATTACTCATACTGATGTCTATACTAAATGGGTTTGATTAATAATTATAATTGTTATAAATTGATAAATTGAACATGCAAATTAACATCCAATTGTCCGTATTGCAAAATGACATGTATCCAATAGAAGGATGCGACATCTTATTAACAGATGTTGAATTCGATAATCATTCATGAAGTTATTTCGGAAAGGTTAAAAATAAAATATCTGTCAGATTCATATCCTACTATAGAGTTGAAGGAAGTGAGTGGTATTATATTTGGACCTTACCACAGAATTTTTGTATCGCTTCCTGTCATTTTATCTGGTGAGAAGGTTTAATGAATCGTTTAAGATGACTGCAATCAACTCAATCTCCAAAGTATTAGTGAACAATAAGCCTGTTAATGTAGCGACTTCTCATTTTAAAAACGGTTGACGCGAAATTAATTTTTGATTTTTATATTAATTACAACATTCTTCTGATTAATTTGATGAAATGATTATGAAACAAAATATATTATAGAAAAATATTTGGATTTATTATTTTTATAGAAGAACTTTTTTTCTTTTCGTTTTGTAATGCATTTACCATTTTTTTTATTACATTAACCCGATTTACCCCATAGTTGAGTCGGAAACATGATTTTCTATAATGTTTATTATTCCATGACCTATCAATTTTTCCTGAAATTTCCACATGCAATCTATTGTTGGGAATTCAGATTATTTTTAGTTTTGTGTGCAACCTCTAATGACATTTTTCGCGTTATTTAATATTTCCTTCCAATCCTTTCAATAGGATTATTCGACACGGTTTTAATCATATGCGATGATGTCACTTTACCGGCAGTGATGTGCAAATAGTATAAAAATTTGGAAGTTTCCAATCCGAATGGTTTATTAGAAAATTATGCTTTCAATCTTTCCGATAGTGCTTCCAATAGTGCTTCCAATCTTCCAATGGTTTACCGGTTATTGATACATACTTAATTAGAATCTATATTCAATTTTTTAATGAGTCTATAAAAAAAGAAATTATAGGACGATCTTCTCGAAAAGCTATTGAATCGATTATTAACGTTAAGAGCACTAATTTCAGGCCAAATTTGGATATCTTGAACTTTTTTTGGAATTGGCTGAGAAAATTTTTTTTAAAGCATTTACAATCAAGGTGGAAGTAATAACTCGAATAGTAACAAGTAAAAAAGGTACGACTTAACGAGTGAGAAACAAGTAATACAAATAGTACACATCGTAATAATAATAGTTTAAGTAATCGTACGATAAGCAATAAACAATATAGAGAAAAACAATGAAATTTTAACTTTGCGTGATTTGATTATGTTAATCTGCAAGATAAATAATATTTGGCTAACGTACTCCTTTTTTTTTTCAAATTACACACAAACTTTATATTAAACTTTGTGTAAGATCCCCTTATTTTACCGAAATTTTCCGATTTCTTTCCCCAAAAGATTGGAAAATAAAAAAGCCAAATTAACAAAATTAATTTACGTAACATATGAGAGACGAAATCTTTTGTATACCATTAAAAAATGAATTTATTAAAAATAGGATAAATAAAATTTTCGAAAAAAAAACATGACAAAATAACGAACCTTATTCGTTATTTACCAATTAATTTTTCTGATGGATGCAAGGATCTTCTTACATGCAGATAAATTTTGAATACTCATTACGTTTGCATTTGTTTAGAAATACAAAAAAATACCATAAAATATAAAATATGAAACACTCTTTTTAATTTAAATCAATGCATTCAATGCATTCAATGAATTCAGTGTATTTATTGTATTCAGTTTGTATTCAAGTGTAATAAATAATAAAAGCCTCAATAAAATAAATAAATAAATAAACAGGTTTTGATGAAATATTTTTTCCATATTTGATAAATGAAAGGCGTTCGTACTTGTAAACTCTAGATCTAAAAATGAGGACTTACAATCATAATCTTCATGTAATTCTATTTACAAAAATTTTTTATTTTTTCCTGAAAAAATATAATAATAATAATAATAATAATAATAATAATAGTAATAATAAATTTATATACAAATATATATAACAAAATGATAAAAAGTAATTAATCATGCAGTTTGTTATATGATTTATTTGGAGCGGTTGGACCAACACTAGTATCACAAGATTTCGGTTTAATTTGTTTCATTACATCCTGAATAGCGCGATAAATTTCTAATTTTAAAAAGTTTTAAATTAAAAATTAAATTTGAAATATTTGAAATGATCATCCTTCCAATTAAAAGTTAAAACTCACTCTGCTTTGATATTTTAGGTTCACTAGCTTTGTTACTCTTATTTTTAAATTCTTCACCATAATCTTCAATATTACTTTGTACTTTGATATTTTTAATATGATTTTTTACATAATCAAAAGTAGATTTGGTCAACAGATTTTTTACTTTTGATTTTGATTTCGAAGAAGATGAGGAGCCGATCAAGACTAAATCCGGTTTAACCGATTCGCATATCTTTAATAATTCTTCACGTACATTTCCTCTAGAAATTATGATATTACTAGTAACCTAATAAAAATATTATAAGATTATAAAGTTATTAAAGTTATTAAAATACGTAATTATCATTGTCTTTTACTTACATTTTTTACTTTTAATTCGGAAGCTACATTTTTTAAAGTATTTTTAGCATGTTCTTGTTCATTTTTAAGATATTCCTGATATTCATCATGATTTGATGTAGTATTATAAGTATTTGCATATCCTACTAAACCAAATGTCCAGACATCAATTACGGGATAATACAATCTTTGTGCGTGTAAAACCGAAAAAATATACACATGATCTAAATTTGGTCTAATAACATTTGTAACGGCCCATTCCAACAATTCTTGTGATTTTGTTATACAATCTGGATCATATGCTAAGAGAATTGTACGACGACGATAATCACATTTGGCGATTTCTTTTTCTAATGATGACATGTTTATTACTTTTTACTAAAAAAGGTATATATATATATTAAAAAAAGAATATTATGTGCAAAATTTTAAAATGAAAAATGTAAATTTTAAACGAAAAATGAAATATATATTTATATATATATTTATATATATATAGATAGAAAGAAAAGAAAGAAAAAAGAAATTAAAAAGAAATTAAGAAAAAAAGAAAAAAAAAGAAAAAAAAAAATTAACCTCTTATATAAATGAAAAAAAAAAACGTAAATACGCCAGGAAAATGCAATAAAGTTATTGATTTGTTTAAAAGTGGAAATATTCAAATGATCTTGAAACAAAAAAAAAACGTTATTTTTAGAATTCCAGTTATTACAGTTGCAAAAAAATAAACCAATTTCTTTTTTTAACATTTCCATAATCCTAAAAATGTAAACTAATTACCAAAAAGACATTGGAATCATTGTTAAATCACAAGAAAGATTAAAAAAATTTTTTTCAATAAAAATTCTAATGCTCAATGATGTATTTTATATTTGTAATCCAATTAGATATTTATGGGTCTAGACGGTAGATATTTGTACTATTTTTGGTAATCATTAACATGACACCTGATTAATGAACTTACTTATTTGGAATATTTTATTTCGGAAATTTTTTTTCGGTAAAGTTTCACCACTTAACCATTAAAGTTCCAGAATTAAATCTTAATGCTATACGATAACCATTTTTATTCCTTAATTGTACGCCTTATAAAGCACAACACAAATTTGTACATCTTATTGTTTTCCCCAAATTGTCTAATTGTCCTCGTCTTTTTTTTTTCTTTTTTTTTTCTTTTTTTCTTTTTTCTTTTACTTTCCCTTTTTTCAAAATAAAAAAAAAATCATTATATATTATACATATATATATATTATATATATATATTTTTATTTTTTTTTTTTATATATATTTTCCCTATTATATATACTATTTATTGTATACAATATTATATAAAATGCATATTTATAATCCTTTATCCAATCATTACATTCTTGTTCAAGTTTTTGGATTTATAGAAAATCAACGAGATATTTTTCATTGTACATTAGTTAATACTCAATGGAATCTTTCAGCTACACCTTTCTTATACAGAGCACCAAAATTAACTTTCACTAATATAAATTCATTAACATTCTTACAAACTATAAAGAATGCTAAAGAAAAACAAACATTTTTACCATATAATGAAATGGTACGTGAATGGAATTTTAAGGATCCTAATAGTGTTGATTGTATAGCAGATTGTTGTCCTAATATTGAAAAAATTAGTTGTAATAATGAATCTTTCATTTTATATGATAATAATCATGTAAACTCTACTTTATTAAAGAATTGGATTAAATTAAAATCTATTAAATTATATCGTCGTTGTGGTTCTGATCTAATTTTGGAAGCTATAAAGATTAATTGTAATCGTTTAGAAGAATTAATATTATGGAATTGTACTGTTACTGATATTGGTTTAATACAAATTTTTAAATCTTGTAAAGGTTTAAAATTATTAAAATTAAATCAATGTCATGAAATTACTGATCAATCTTTATTATCAATGTCAGAAATTTGTCATTCTATAATTAATTTGGATTTAAGAGATTGTAATAAATTAAGTGATGATGGTATTTTGGCTTTATCAAATTCTATTTTTTCAAAAAATTTATCTATTCTTCATTTAGAAGCTTTAAATATTAAAGAAGATTCTTTATTAATTTTGGCTGAAAATATTACAAATTTACAAGAATTACATTTAAGAAGATTTGAAACTGTTACTGATGAAATTGTTACTGCTTTTGCTATTGGTAGTAGACATTATTTAAAAAGATTAAATTTACATTTATGTCCAAGAATTAGTTGGAGTATGAAAGAATCAATAGAAATTAGAGAATTATCTTTATTAATGCAAAATATTAGTTTACAATTATTAAATTCTATATGTGAGACTTGCCAATTTTTAGAAAAATTTACTTTAGATATAGCTTCTTATTCTTCTTCTTATTCTAATGAGGTAAGTTTTCCATTTTTTTTTTTTTTTTTGATATTCTCTCTCTCTCATTTCGCTAATTATTTTTTCTATATTCTCTCTCACATACATGCTCCATACGTGCTCATATATGCTCTCTCACATACGTGCTCCATAAATGCTATCTCACATACATGTTCCATACATGCTCACATACATGCTCTCTCATTTCCTCCCTCATATACATGCTCTTTCTCTCTTTCATACCCTCCCTCTTTTTAGGAAATTATAAGTACTCTTTCACAGCTTAAAAATCTTAAATCATTGGCCATATTTTGTGGTATAAAATTTTCGAAATTTGAAATCTATGAGTTAAAAAGGAGATGTAAAAAATTAGTACAAATCAATTGTTAAAAAAAAAAAGTATATATATAAATATATATATAATTCAATAATCTTTACAAAATATATATATATGAGTATTGTATAATTAGTTATTATAGATAATTTTACAATAACAGGGTATAAATTACAATAAATATAATCAATTACATTAAAATAATACAAATAAAAAATTATAATCAATTGCAATTACAATAAACAGATAAATGTTATAAATATAATAAATGAAATAATGTAACAATTACAATTATATTTATAATTATAAATATAATAAATGTGATAAATGTAATAAATTTTTTTTTTTCTAATCCCCCAAACTTTAAAAAAGACGAGTGGGGACTGGGCGAGACAAAAAAAAAAAAAAAA